TATATATTCTATTGTACATAAAACAGATAACTAGTGGGAAGCTGCTATGTAACATGTGGAGCCCAGCCTAGTGTCTTGTGATGCCCTGGAGGGGTGGGAAAGGAGGGAGAGACAGGTAGGAAGGACCAGGGAAGACAGCTCAATAGGGAGGGGATGTGTGTGTGTGTGTGTGCACACGTGTGGGCCTGTGTGTGCCTGAATTATGACTCACTCTCACTGTTTTACTGCAGAAACCAGCATATTTATCCTCCAATTAAAAAAAAAAAGACAAAAATCAGCCTTCCCTGGTGGCTCAAATGGTAAAGCGTCTGCCTACAGTGTGGGAGACCCGGGTTCGATCCCTGGGTTGGGAAGATCCCCTGGAGAAGGAAATGGTAAGCCACTCCAGTACTCTTGCCTGGAAAATCCCATGGACAGAGGAGCCTGGTAGGCTACAGTCCAAGGGGCCACAGAGTAGGACATGACTGAGCGACTTCACTTTCACTTTCAAAACCCCAATACTGGTGAGCATTTCATGGCTCCAACATTGTTGATCTAAAACTGTTAGCATTTTAATCTTAAAGCAAATAGCAAAAACTGGCACTCTAGAAACTTAGATTTGTGACTTAATCTGCTAGATATTTTGTCTTCATTTTCTTAACAAAGACTGAACTTATGTGTGAAAAAACAGGATAATAGGCAGCAGCAGATCATTCTTTGTCTATTAGTTGTTTAAGAATGTTTACTAAATGTTTCTGGGAGATAAATTTTAAGATTTTGAATGATTAGGATCTGTGAAGTACCTGACTGCCTGAGTTCTTTCAGAAAACCACTGTAGACTAAAATATTGGTTCAGGAAATTTAAATTAAAGGAAGATTTTCTATTGCATTGATTCAGGAAATATACTGGGTCATTTTTTTCTCTTCCATTTAATAATTTAGTTACATAAGTGGGTACTTTCAGAAATATGAACATCAAGAAATCTACATCATTGATCAGTATGTTTTAAATGCGTAAGTTCAGAGAATAAAGTAGAGAAGATTTGAAAAATCAACACAGAGTCCATGCCACGGAGTGTTGTTAACATGTCAAACCATGAAAAGTCTGAAAAACTTATGATAGGAAAAATGACCAAATTTAGAAAAAACAGTAGACAGTTAAACTGTGAACAGTAGCTTCATATTTTGGAGTGGTAAAAAATACAGTCTAAAAATTCTATAGTCAATCAATTGTCATTCACATTTTAAATCAACTGGAAGACAATTTTGAGTCATAAAGACTGTCTATATACTTCTGATACAGAATGTAGAAAAAAAGACATATCAGGAAGAGATTAAATCAATTCCTGTGTCTACCTGGAATTCATTATAAAAATGGAGAAACTAAATTACATAAACACAAAAACACATTTCATCCATCTATTTATGCACACACACTCACACACACATATACACATATAATATTCCTTAGGAAAGAATTAACTTCATACTGTGGCAAATTAGCCAAATTCAATCTCTTCAATGAATAAATTTTTAAAAATTAACATTCATGAACACAATTTTAAAAATAAAAAAAAATCCAAAACTCCAGTGAGAGAGAATTGGTATTATTATAATAGTTCACATCAGGCATAAAAATCAGAGTACTGTTTCAATGAATCTACTGCTCTGAAATATTTTGATCATCTATTCCAGCTTGAGGCTCAGTTCCCTAAGGATATCACATATGAATGAAACATAATTGTAGACAAAACAAAATATAGAGGCATCCCAGGTGGCGCTGGTAGTAAAGAATTTGCCTGCCAATTCAGAAGATGCACGAGATGCAGGTTCAATCCCTGGATTGGAAAGATTCCTTGGAGACAGAAATGCCAACCCACTCTAGTATTCTTGCCTGGAAAGTCTCATGAACAGAGGAGGCTGGTGGGCTGCAGTCCATGGGGTCATAAAGAATCAGACAGGACTGAGCACCTGCACACATAATAAAGTCAGAAAACATACTGGTCTCAACAAAGTAAGTCTGTAGATACTAACTTGGACTGATAGCCTTCTAGTCAGTTCATTTGTAGACTTAAAAAAAAAAAATGAATCTTTATCATTTTAGCCTGGTAGCATAGAACACAGGTATAGCTTTATGGATAGGAGAAAGTAAATGATTTATCCTATGTCAGAAGTGAAAGTGTTAGTCACTCAGTCATGTCAGACTCTTTGTGACCCCATAGACTATAGCCCACTAGGCTCCTCTGTCCATGGAATTCTTCAGCTAAGAATACTGGAGTGGGTAGCCATTCCCTTCTCCAGGGGATCTTCCCAACCCAGGGACTGAAGCCAGCTCTCCTGCATTGCAGGCAGATTCTTTACCATCTGAGCCACCAGGAAAGCCCTTCACATGTCAAAATCACTCCTCAAAATATTTCATGTTTCAAATAGAGGATCTATTTTGACAGTTAAGATATTAGATTGGCCAGAAAGTTCATTTGTTTTCCCATAACATTTAACGGAAAAACAAACTTTTTGGCCAATCCAATATCATCATGAATCTAATAGAAATACTACCAAGAACTGTATTAAAGATTTATGTTTTATGAGAAAATAAAGTAAATTTGAAAGTCACTCAGAAAGGCCTGGCTTGGCACTTTGGCAAAACTTTGGGAGAATTAACAAATAATACAATTAATAAAAGTAAAATCTTAAGTGACAGAGGATCTTCCTGACCCAGGAATCAAACCCGGGTCTCTTGCCTTGCAGGCAGATTCTTTTCTGAGCCACGAGGGAATCCCACAGAGAAGGCGATGGCACCCCACTCCAGTACTCTTGCCTGGAAAATCCCATGGGTAGAAGAGCCTGGTAGGCTGCAGTCCACGGGGTCGCGAAGAGTCGGACACGACAAAGCAACTTCACTTTCACTTTTCACTTTCATGCATTGGAGAAGGAAATGGCAACCCACTCCAGTGTTCTTGCCTGGAGAATCCTAGGGACAGTGGAGCCTGGTGGGCTGCCATCTATGGGGTCGCACAGAGTTGGACTGACTGAAGCGACTTAGCAGCAGCAGCAGCAGTAGGGAATCCCAAGTCATAGGCATATAGCTTTTAATGAGTTCCCACTTAAACCAATGAAACAAACTGCAAAACACTCAGTTCCAAAAAAAGATGAGGACTTTAATGGCAGTCTCTGAGTTGTAAAATCACAAATGTAATTTTAGGTCCATTTCAGTTTTCTTTCTTGAATGAGTCTGCATTACATCTATTTTTAATTTAGGTGCATGAATTTAAAAATACCCACATAAGCTACCAAATACAAAGAGAATCACTTTATCACAGAGTGCTTCATTGAAACTGTACTTAAAAAAATCATCCTGATTTGTAGCATTTGGTGATTTTCATGTTGTAAAGATAGAGAAGGTTATCAAACTTTATTTTTAAATTATTCAAGTATTTTTGTTAAACTATATTAGGCAAAGTTACTAAGTTGCAAATTTTATTCTAAAAGAAAAAGAGCACATTCATTTCTTTCTGAAGTATGCTATCTGAAAGTAAACATATAATGCCCATACTTACAAATGGGCCTCAATCTTTGTATCTTACCTAGACTGTAATACCAAGAGAGTAGTATTAGGCATGATAGGATTATAGTCATTGAAAATTCATACAGATCCAGTGTTTGTTCACAATGGTTATGTTTTGATTCATATAGTCTTCTCTTTCATTTATCTAGCCCTCCTAATTTTTCCTGTTGTATGAATATAATTAGAATATTTTTAATAATATGCTTTCAGCTATATATTTGGCAATATCCTGGTAAACTAGTTTTCTGAAAATCAACAAGCAACTAAATGAACAAAAAGTTCTGATTTATAGCATTTTTGTCTATTTTCATGTTTAAATAATCTCACCATGGCCTATTTAAGCTATCAAAATGATGACACTCAAAGTGAAGCTAGGAAGAGATGTGCAAAGCTTCTCACAGTGAGTTAGTCAAGCTGGTTTCAGCAGAACACTGTGATAAATAAATACTGACTCAAGTCTGTCAAAATATCCAGGGACTTTTTGGTAGGTTCCAATATATTTAAGACCATGGCAGTGAATAATTTTAACATGATTAAGCTTTAAACAATAGCAGGCAACATTAAACTATGAAGTGACAGCAAAACACTTCCTAAATAAGCATCTAATTTAGGATAAAAACAAAAACATGATTTACAATAAAACTTGCTTTTTGATAAAAATATTCATGACAAATAATATCACTGAAATCTTATAAGCTCTTTCTGTGTTGGCTTTTTGAAAATGTAAATGACCACATCATCTTGAGAAGCAAGGTAACATTTTACTGAAATTGAATGGCCCATATATTCTTGTAAAGTTCATTATTTTAATACTTATGATGTAATAAGTTGAATAGAATAGTACCTATCATAGGATTTGACAATTATTTTTTCTCTAAAGGATCAGAGAGAATATATTTAGGCTTTGCAAATCATATAGCTTGTTGTGAATGCAGTACTGTTTGTGCAGTGGGAAATACTCATGTTCAATGTGTAAATTAACAATCCTGGCCATGTTCCAATAAAACAATTCTGACAGAAACAAGCAGCAGATGGATTTGGCCTGTGGATCATCCACAGTTTGTTGACCTGACTTTAGCAGCTATCAAATCATCTGATGTTTTTATGGCACTGATTTCAATATGATTTTTCTTGGTGTTTATGAATCACTAGTCCCTTTAATCGAAGTACTTTTTAAAAGTATAATATTGACTCAGTCAGTAAAAAAATCTTGACTAATTACTGTTTCTTAAACAAGATGCTCCCTCAGCAATGCAAATGCCAAAAGGACAATGCAATTGAAAATAAAATGAATACAATGGCGGACATATCTTCCTTTACTATACCACAACGTCACCTTTAACCACAAGGAGAGGTTTTCCTAGATAGTAAAAGAAGAGAAAATTTTCAGATCAAATTAAGATATGTTTAATATGAGCACATTCATTTTAATTTACTCTGAAATTCTTATTCTTACCTTCCACAAGTTTCCCTGTCTGTTCGGCACTTCCCCCAGGAAGAATCTTGGCAATATAGGCTCCAATTTCTCCGCTATGTCCAGGGATTTCTTTACCACCCACAATTCTAATTCCTAATCCATTACCTGTATTAAAAAGTTAGCAAATTATTAGCAATAAGTTAAGACAGGACAACAGTTATCACAAGTGATAAGGTGCAAGAAAAATGGGTTCTGATATGTAGAAGTTAACCCCAAATGAATACTGGAACTGGACACTGATAACAAAAGAACAATGTTACAATTTCATAGTAGTTGATACTACTACTGAGAAGAGAAGTATCTGAGATCTTGGTAGGATCTATAATGATTAATCTGACATTAACAAATAATTTTTATTTTTTATTTCAGCCATATTCAATAATATAATAAAGTTTTGTCCATATATGTTTTGATCATATATGTTGCAAGAATTTTATATGAAGATGTCCCCAGTATAAATAATTTCAGAGCGAAAAATTCATTTATGAAATTGACAAGCATTTAACTTACAAAAAGGAAGTAATGGCTATCATAAATTGAGAAGACATAAATGACTGCAACTGATAAAGTGAAAACATGATCATAACTTATGAATTATTATTCACATTTCAGCCTTAATTCATAAACTAATATTGTTTGTGCATTAATACGGCACTTAATACAAGGGTAATAAAAGCATTCTTTACTGATGAGCAACTTGGTAAACTGTTCCTTATTCCACAGAACAGATTTTATAATTAGCCATGCAGATGAAAGATGGAGAATGATTATTATGAGAAATCTACATACTATTCTTGATCTTAGCCAAAAGGCCGAGAAGTGATGATTATTATGAGAGATCTAATTGAATCACATAAACTGTTGACATTTTATCTTTTTAAAAGAGTAAGCTAAAAAACAGCTAGTGTATACAGCTCCATATATATTTTTGCTACAAATGTCAAGAAGATTTTAAAATGAAAGCACTAAATGAAAGCAGAGTTCTTGTCTACTGAAGACACAATTAATTAAACATCTCATTCAGTGACTGAAGTACCATTTCCAACTCTTTCAAAATCTCTAAAATTAAAAGCCGGGTCTCTTCCAAATCCTGTTCCTTTCCTACTTAACTCCTCAAAAAGAATCCCTCTAGTTAGCATCAACACAATTCAAACATTCCACAAGCAGCAGCTGAATTATGGACTGCTTCTTCATTTATCTAGTAGGGGTGTATTTTGGTAAAATACTGGCTATTTTCAGGTGACATGATACTTCCAAATGAATTTACTCTTTCCTTTTCTTCCTTCCTCCTTCCCCCTTTCATCCTTCCTTCCTTGTCTCCCCCCTCTATTCTCCCTCTTTCCCCCTAGTACCCCCACTCCCTACTCTCATCCTGAGACCTGCTTTTACACCAGGGCAAGTGTTCTGAAGATTTAGCCTCAAAACAAAAACAAAGCAAATTAACCACATGTTTTTACAAAGGGTTGCCAAGGGTCAGAGTTAAATAAGATACTAGCTCTCTGTGGCCCCACTTGTGGAGCTTTTCTGTCACAAGTTTCTTAGCTCAGTGTTCCTGTTCTTAGAGATTAATTGATGATCCAAACTGAACATAACTGGATCAGTGAAGGCTAGGATTTACTTTATGACATAGAGCATGTATTATATATGACTTTCAGTCTCAACTAAAGTTGATTTCTTAGACATTAGCATTTAAAGATTCACCAGGACTGATTCTAAAATAAGACATTAGATAGATACTAATAAAGAGTAAAAGATGAAGAAAAGTTATCAGCCACTATTTACTCAGTTATTTTATATATATGTGTGTATATATATAGTGTTAAGCCATTTTAGAAATTACAAAATGAGAATTTAAAAATAGCTGGTCATATTTAACAGATTTTCCCATGGAATTTGTCCAGAAAAAATAAAAATAGATTCTTAAGATTTGGCTTTATTTTTCATGGTTGAATCACTCGCAAGCTGCAATTCATCACTTATTAAATATTTCATAAAACATATACATATACTGAATTTCTAATGTGGTCAATATATCCATGTCAGTTTTAAGACATGGTCAACCTGGGATCCCAAAAGATGATTGATGAGATTTCTTTAGTGTAAAGGCATATTTTTCAAGACCAAGTTTTGTATCAACATTTATGCTAGATAATAGCAGAACATAGTAGGGTATATAGTAAAGTGCTCATGGCACTGCTCTTATTTCTTTTTAAGCTTAAAAACTGTTGTATGGCAGAAACCGACACAACACTGTAAAACTTTTAAAAATATATTTAAATTAAAAAATGGAAAAAAATTACCATATAAATACAGTTCATAAGAATAATTCTGTACTATACAAAATATGGTGTAGCCATATACTTAGAAACTACAAATAAAATTGCTATACCTTGTAAAGGTATAGCTAAAAAGTAGAATTTCCGAATCTATTAATTAACATGTGACTACTTAAAAAAACTAATTGCGTTTTCATTTTGCAAAATGACATTGTCTTGAAGATAAGTAGTTGGGTTCTTAGTGCCATTTGATTTTTAGTGACTGAGTACATTCTCAAATCTTGTAGTAAAGGATCTGTAACAGGAATTTATGACTATATCCACAATAATTATTTAATTTTGTAAAATACAGTTTCATGCTAATGAATTCAACACTTTCTTAATATACTTTACAAATCAGTGTCTTTGGTAAAATGGGAGTAATACATAGTCATGAAAATACTGTGAAAAATGAGATTTGATAGACAGTTGACTCTTCCACAACCTGGGGGTTGAGGTGCTGACCCTCTGTGCAGGTGAAAATCCTCATATAACTTATACTCAGCCCTTTGTATACAAGATTCCTCTATGTACCCAGTCCCATATCCCTGGATTCAACCAACTGTGGATTGTGTAGCATTATATATCTACTATTGAAAAAAATCTCCATTTAAATGAAACCATGCAGTTCAAACACATATTGTTCAAGGGTCAATGTATACAGAAACCACTTCTAATACATAGCAAATTTTCGAAAGCTATTTTTCTTCTTATTGATCCTGCTGTGTTAATTGCTACTGATTTTCATGTATACAATAAAGTAACATAGAAATATTTAAAGTTTGTGAAAGAAAAGCAAGTTAGAAAATAAAAAGACCTAGGAAGGAAACATTTTTTATTTTACAGTAGTTGCTTATATCCTAATTTGGATGCCATAAGTATGAATTTAATTTATATACTTTCTAAGAATTTAAATCTAGACACTTTAATTTACCATTTCTATAGTTGTACTTTGATATTTTATGTATTGATTATAGACAGAACAAACAAAAACACTTCTATATAAATAAAACACATCAGCTCAAATCTAAAAAGCAGAATGTCAATAAAAAATTTGATAAACCTAAGAGGCAAAATTAGTTTTTAACTGAAATGCTTAAATCTAAGTGGTCCTTGATAAGTGATACTATTGGTTTTAACTTTTACAAATTTTTAACAACAAAAATTTATTTCCCTCCCTGTTTCTATTCCATCTAGAAACATTGCTAAAATGTTTCCTCTGAAATCATGAAAGTACACTGGTTTTGCTCTTCAGCTAACAGTATGGCAGAGAAGAGAGGCCAACAATTACTGTAAAGAACATAGGAGCTTTAGTAAAAGAGATCATCAAAAGTTACAGTAATTTTATAGCATATAAGCATAAATGTGGTTAAGGAAGTCTTAAAGGGAAATCTATAAGCAACTACAACACAAAGTATTCATAAACCACCATGATGTACACGTTAAATATCTTATAATTTTGTAAGGCCATTATGCCTCAATGAATTGAAATGAAAAAATAAAAAAGTAAGCTGTACATAAAATAAACATAAGCATACTATGGAAACATCCTCACATTTGGATTTAAATTTGCAGTTTAAATCTACTTTACTCTTATATGTTTATCAATATGCTACATTACATGCTCTGATATTTAAGGTATTATAAAAATGTTTTTATTTCCATTGTTAAATAACATGAAAATATCATGATGTTATAATTAGAGCACTAAATGTGGGCAAAATTACAATACTTATTTCTTTCTTTTTAAAATTTTTTAATATAAATTTATTTATTTTAATTGGAGGCTAAATTACTTTACAATATTGTAGTGGTTTTGCCATACATTGACATGGATCCACCACGGGTGTACATTTGTTCCCCATCCTGAACCCTCCTCCCACCTCCCTCCCCAAGCCAGTGCACCAGCCCCAAGCACCCTGTCTCATGCATTGAACCCAATACTTGTTTCATTTCAACACTCTCATGTGCTACATCTAAGCCTCAAGGAAAAGGAAACTTTTCATCAATGAACATACTATCTTATGAACAGCAGTCTTTAAATCAATAATTTATTATTCATAATAAAGTTATTAAAGAACAGAGATATACTGCTTAGTTTAGTCATATAATTAGTTGGGCTGAAGAAGAAGAAAGGTTGTCTATATAAATATATTGTCTACATTAATATGAATATATTCATTGGAAGGACTGATGCTGAAACTGAAGCTCCTATACTTTCGGCACCTGGTGTGAAGATCTGACTCATTGGAAAATACCCTGAGGCCAGGAAAAATTGAGGGCAAAAAGAGAAGTGGGTGACAGAGGATGAGATGGTTGGATGGCATCACTGACTCCATGGACATGAGTTTGATGAAACTCAGAAAGATAATAATGGACAGAGAAACCTGGTGTGCTGCAGTTCACAGGGTTACAAAGAGTTGGACATGACTTAGCGACTGAATAACAAAGACAATAAATATCAATGCTAATGATGTACTAAGGATAATGAAAAATACACAAAGGATAGTTCAATTAAATGTATTTTTGTAGTTCATCTTAATTATACTCTTACATAAGACTGTAAAAGTTTATTTTTATCTCTTGTACCTATTGTTATAAATTATCCAAGAAAATATTTAGAAAAATCAAACTACATTAAAAATCCATAGTGATTTCCTTTGCATCTTATCAAATGCTATATTAATTCATTAATATTTGAAAACAAAGACCTAAAGAATATTTCACTATTTGTTCTCTAACTTTGCTTACTTTTGTTCATTATAAGAAAACATTTCTACAAACATGACA